ACATCGTTTGCAAAGAAAGGTTCGCTCGTGAAAATATTTGGTTAATTGTCCGAGGCATGCTAGGAATTTATTCGATCTACCTTACCTTGTGTGGTAAATTAATTCAAGCCCGGTGATACCTCTAAGATGTTCTTTCCGGGTTGATGCGACTGAAAAAGCAGCGCTGCAACTTTGCACGGGCTGTTGCACGCGATACTAATGCCCTCGTTATCACAGCTGAAAAACTGTTCTCCCTAATGGAGAACGGAAATCGCCTGTGATCGACCTTGACATTTTTACAAACGAAGATAACCTAACAAATAAAGACGAAGGGTAAAAATGGAAAAATCTAAAAGCGCATATGACAAATAGAGATTCGTAAACAGTATCATTTCCAAATGTCCAAGTAATCGCATGAATCCTCCATTTATCGCGCCATAGACGAAGGAATTAGAAATTGCGCGAGTGTTGCTGGCTATTGAATAATTTACGAGCGAGAGGGTTAAAATGGCGTTTTAGGGCTAGAAAATTGTATGTTTTATCAAGATGGTGGAAAACTCGCGACGTTAAAGTGGTTAGAGCGTGGCGGAGCGGCAATTTCCACAACTTCTCGGGCTTTAGATAGTTATGATCGAACGAGCATGACAGGGGTTGGGGAGGGGAGGAGGAGGAGGAATGATAAGAGAAACGCCGGCTGTAAAGAGATGCATCTCGAAGAGACAGGGCTTTTGAAGCGCGAGGCACGCTCTCATGCATCTTTAGAGCGTAAAAAAACGTAACCAGGCAAACTTTTCCATCCGCCTTGGTTCCATCCGCTCTCGCCACAGCTCGCACCTTCAATATTTCGCTCCATCTCGCGGCTTACCCTGTTGTTTCCTTGTTTCCAATAAAGATGATAATGTTGCGTTTCGATGGAATTCGATTATTACGAATTTTCACGATAAAAGGGCAAACTTGCGAAACGTTTATAAACATTCACGATGTTTTCGAGCGGCAGACACATGGTGAAAGCGGAATAAGCGGAGGTCCAGAGATTATCACGCACGCATTGTACTTGCTCGATTTTTGGCCCAATCGATCGGCAATGTATAAAAATATATCAATTTTCGTAAACGGCGAACTTGCCCAGTTTTTGCATCAGGATCTTCGATTCAATGTTCGTGTGAATGTTCGTGTACATAACCTAAAATCTATTTACATAACCTAAAATCTATTTACGTAACTTAAAAAGTCGAGTAGTGGAAATGGTTGAAAAATCGAGTTCCACAGTCTTTTGTAAGAACACGTTTGATTTTGGTGTCAAGCAGTTTACTTTGGGTTTACTCGACGCGTGGATGGCATAAGAATACGAGGGACACGAGGCACGATCAGGTTATGTCTGCTAAAGGAACTCGAGTGTGCTTTGACACGGGAGACTATCACTCAATCGCCGTACTTGACTCTGGCTGGCCATTTGCTGGTATATTGCCATTGCCACGAAAGCTAATAGGAATTCTCCTTAACCTTCGTCAGAGAGTTAACCCGAGGAACTCAGACCACCCTAAATCTCGCGTTACTCCATTGGTAATTGTAGAGATCGTGGATACAAAAGCCCGGGGAATCCTCGAGCGGCCGCTGTTGTGGTTTTCGACGATCAAGATCTTCCTCTAGAGCAAATCACATTGACCACGCTGGTTCTTACAGAAAATTTAAGAGTACAAGAATGCGTAATGGAATGAAATTTTTGAATAAAACATTCACGATCCTTTTATCATCCGACGATGCGCTCTTATTTGACGAATTGAGAATCACGGTGGTTCAAGTGAAAATTTGTCAAACATCGTCCTATGAAAAATGGCACGTAATATGCGAATATATTATTATATATATATAGATATGTATATATTATTCATAGTTGGTTATTAACATTTGGTTATTTAGTATCTGTTGTAACATTCATATAAGCGATACAAATCTCTGTCCAGGCTCTACTCTACCAATTGTGTTTCGTAAAAACACGAATTTGCATAAATGACCGCAGTCTACCTACGATTACCCTACATTCTTGTTATTTTTGTGTGAATGTGAAACTAATGCCCGAATCGACAAGAGTGACCATTGGTCGGTAACAGTATCGGCGGAAGTCGGTCGGAAGCGCGGGAAATCGGTAGAAATACGAACCGCGAGACACTTCACGCGCGTTACGGTAACGCTATCCGAAACGTGATCGGATTGTCTCGAATGAGCATGGCATAATTGTGAAAACGAGATGAACCATTGTCGATTCAATTGCTGAAACACCATGGTCGACGTACTCTCGTATCACATCCGAGTGGTAGCTAGAGTCTGGTCTGTCGGCTTGAAACTGGAGCGCCCAGCCACGGCCTCTGTTTATCTGTAACACAATACACCAACACTTTTGACAACTCTGCAGAGTGGCTTGCCTATAGTAAATCACTGGACAGTCAGTGGGCAGAGGTTAACTGGCCAGAGAAAAAATTATTACACGATGGAAAACATTTAATTGGCGCTTACATCGTTCCTCCTGGTTTAAACTCATTCGTTTTATCCCTGTCGGTAAATTAAGATCGATGGTGATTAAGCAGGTAGATAAAAAAGAGAACAATGCTGTGAGAATGTTATTTAAGATTTATGATTAGAGTGAAACTACCAGATATTGGAAAAACACACCCCGTATGGAATAGCGCCATTTTTTTTTTAAATCTGACAAATGAATATCTGTCAAACGACTATAGGCTTCCTCGCTCAGTCACTTTGGTATCGTTTATTTTGCTACAAACTTTTTCCCCAATACTCTGGTGAAGAAATATGGATCAAGTGCCTAATGCGCGCACTCTGGTCGCATGACGAATGTACTTGCACAAAGTGTGACACTGCAATATATGTGACTATTGCAAGTAGCTATTTTCTAAAATGTTATAATCAATAAGAGGAATAGAACTATTTGCTTTTTTTTATTGCTTTCTATTTCTTTTCTATTTTGCTATCTATCCTATATCTATAATATATTAGGTAGGATTTATATCTTTTTATTGTTAGTTCAATATTGAAAATTGTTAGAATAATTGTTAGAAATCTAAGAAATGCTCTTGATACCCAGGAAAACCTTTTGTTCGTTGCTATTGATTTTCTAAGAATGACATTCGAAAAAACAAAGTGGTATTCCATATTTGGCTTAGTACCTTTGTCGTTTTACTAAACGGCGAAGAAATAGTAGAATACCATGGAGGACCTAGTCTTTGAAATCTGATCTTTCTTTCGGTACCTCTACGAGTTTATATTAAACGGCATTCAATTTGCATTATTGGATCCTTCGTATTTCTATTCCTTCGTCTGTTCTCATATGAGAGAAATTCCTGTTCCATTGATGCCTACTCTCTTTGTAAATCACAGACAAGGAACGAATTACAGAAGGAATTTCACCACGTGCACTGAATTTGATTAAACTCCAAGTGATCTAATGCAGGGATACCGAGTAGTATCCAATTTCGATAATTATGTAAAACATAAATTATGAAGCTCAAAGAGGAAGTAATAAATAAATAATTCGTTTGAAGCAATACAAAATTCCCTAATGATATTTAAAAGCATCAAACCAAGAAGTCACAGTCGATTGATATAACATGCTCTTGATCAAATTTTTGGAAAGAGAGCTAAATCTCATAGTATCATTGCCGCTTTTATTAAATCAAATGTGTCACCCGTTCTGATTCTTCCAATTAGTTTATTCTGATATGTTAAAATTCTCTATACCTTATAATTTCATTTTACAACATTCTGATAAAGCATTCGTGAATTTTTTCCCATCTGACAAAATTTATTTAGTCTTATCTAGTGATCTGAGAATCAGGGTGGTGTGAGTCAAAATTTGTACAACACAACTTCATTCCTATTTTGCAAAGCTTGTAAGAATCCAGCTACCAAACAAACTTTGCATTCTAACACACATATGCAGATGAAACAACGAACACAAGTAAATGGAATTTTAACATTGACTATAAATAAATATATATATATACGTGAGCATGTGCGTGCTTGCGTGTGTGTGCGTGTGTCTGTCTCTCTATCTGTCTGTCTGTCTCTCTCTGTCCCTCTGCGTGTCCCTCTGCCTGTCCCTCTGTCTGTGCCTCTGCCTGTCCCTCTGCCTGTCCCTCTGCCTGTCCCTCTGCCTGTTCCTCTGTCTGTCCCTCTATCTGTCCCTCTGTCTGTCTGTCTGTCTGTCTCTCCCTCTGTCTGTCTCTCTGTCTGTCCCTCTGTCTGTCCCTCTGTCTGTCTCTCTGTCTCCTCCCCCCCCCCCCCCCCTCTCTCCCTCTGTCTGTTCCTCTGTCTGTCCCTCTATCTGTCCCTCTGTCTGTCTGTCTGTCTGTCTCTCCCTCTGTCTGTCTCTCTGTCTGTCCCTCTGTCTGTCCCTCTGTCTGTCTCTCTGTCTCCTCCCCCCCCCCCC